CAATAGCTCCTGGGATTCTGGGAGCTGAGGTCCCTCGGCCCTTAAAGGCTTAGAGAGTGCTGAATTCACTATTAAGCAGTATAGAAATGTAAATATATATATATATATGGCAACCCCATTAATTTCATAGGGTTTCCGTAAGTGGTTTTGCCAGGTTTTGTTGTTGTGTTGCCTTCAAGTCGTTTCCGACTTAATAGTGACCTTATGATGGGGCAAGTTGACCAGACGTCCTCCTTTTCAGGGCATGTCCTCCATTTCCCCCTTCTCTCCAGGAGGAATGACAAAATGTCCTCCATTTTGACCATAACTAAGGCTGCCTTCCGCACTGCAGAAATAATCCAATTTGATACCACGTTAAGTGCCATGGCTCAGTGCTGTGGAATCCAGTTTGTTGTGACCTCAGAGCTAAATTTCTCACAAAACTACAGCTCCCAGAATTCCATAGCCTGGAGCCACAGCAGTGGTATCAACCTGATAGTTATTTCTGCAGCGTGGATACAGCTGAAGAAGCATGAATTTATAATTCTATTGAGTGTTTTGTAGCTTTCATTTGGTCATTCTTTCAATTTTTCTTGAATGTCCTACGGTTTTGTGGTGCCCTGTCCTCCTTTATGGAGCTCTGGTGCCACAACACACTACAATTCCCAGAATTCCATAGCACTGAGCCATGGCACTCAAAGTGGTGTCAAATGGGATTATTTCTGCAGCGTGGATGCAGCCTGAGAGCACTGATGACTTCACTTTTCCGGATTAGTATCCATTTTTAGCACTCTGTCACATCTTCCTAGAACTGGAAATAGAAAGTCTGTAAGGTTCACCCCCCTATTTTTTTTTTCTTGTATCAGAATCAATCTATCAGACATGGGGCACAGAGAGAGGATGCTGCAAGTGCAGGGGAAACCTATTGCTTCCCAGCCTTTCTTGCCCCCCTCCTGCTGCTTCTCTGCCCCATTGCCCTTCTACATTCAGCACTCCTACCCCCTTTAAAGGGACTCAGGGCTCCCTTTGCAAAGGCGGTGCATATCATGGAAGTGATTCTTCTAGACAGGAAATACGGTATCTGCTCAGTTTCTGACACTGTGGCCAGATGGGAAATGTATTTTTTTTGGTGTCTCTTTGGAAAAGACTCAACTGCAGTCTTGCATGTTCCTGCCTACACCTCTGCAGAAAATAAAATGGTGACATTAGGCCTATGCATATTTATTAGGGTACAATATTTACTCAACTAAACTGAAATGAATTTAATATTTTATTGTGTAAAGATGCTAGATGTGGAGTGTAATTGTAAAAACTGCTCTACTTTAATGGGGCAATCCTTGGAGTCTTTTGAGCTCTACTTCCAGCTTCAGAATAAATAATGCATATTTTGCTTGTTCCATGCATTAGTATTTTTCCTTGGATGTGAACTTGTGTGATGTACCAGAAAGTTGCAATATATGT